TCTTTCAAGGCCTAGCTCAAATGTCAACTCTTCTTTGTAGCTTTCTTTCAGCTATAAAGGGTTGAAAGCATTGAATTAGTTGAACTTTTACCTGTTTTCTAATAGCATTGTGCTTAAGACCATTTCCAAATTATATTGTATTGTAATGACTACTTTTACCTTTTCTTCTCACCAATTGACATCTTAATTTTTATACTGCCTTAGCACAACTGGTAGGTGTATCTCAATAATTGTTTGAAAAATTAAATAAAACTGAATTTAAATATTTTTTAAAATGAGAAGGGGGAAAAAATCTATCATCAACTTGATGGAGGAAAACTTAGAGCTCATTTAAAAAGTATTTCAAGTCTGATCCAGTGGTGAAGACCAGTAATCCCAGCCACTCAGTAGGCTGATAGAAGGATCAAAAGTTCTAGGCAAGCCTTAGCCACTAACCCATCTCTAATTTACAAATTCGACACTTAGGGAGACTGTAACAAAATAGAACTTGAAAAAGGGCAGGGGACAGGGGATTTATCTCAGAGGTAGACCACCTCTGGGTTCAATCTGTAGAAGCACACATACACACAGAGTATTTTATTTAATGACTTCACAGACTACAATATTTTCCAAATGTATATTTATTTTTCCTTCCTAATTTTAAGAAAAGCTGATATGATAACACAGCAAGAGAGGACTCAGAAGTTCCTTACATTGTCTAACCGTAAGTTTCCTCATCTGTGAAATACAAATAATTATATCCAGTGCCACAGAATTGTGAAAATCGTATGAGAAAATAAATATAAGAATTCGTTAATTGAAAACTTCATGCAACTTTTTTCAATTACCAGTAGAAAAAAAAATAATTATCAGAGGAATTGAATAACCCATCTAGGGGTCAACTGAAAAGCTGTAAAACTAAGATTCCTAAGGCCATACTCCTACTATGATACTGCACAACCATTTCTCCTCTTCCTGAATGCCTGGTCTCTACTTACTGTATCCCGATTCCTTAGGGATCCTCATTAAAATGCCTCCTGCATTCCTTCAAATGAATGCACTGAGCTGTCTGCTTTGAAAAGTCCCCTTCTCTTTAATCTCTACCCTAGACCAGGGAAAGATAATCTGACAAATTACTATCTATCATGTTTTACTCCTTTCATAATATATGACGATTGCACTGAGAAAATTAATCTACAGACCTGACCCCAGAATGGGGATACTTCATGCCTTGGATCTCTAGCAGTTTGGGAAAGCTTGAGAATTTCTCCTTAGATAATGTTACTAAATAAATAGAGAAAAATGCAGATACACCTCTCCTAGCCACTTCTAATTTACAAATTCTGCTCTAGTAATATGGGGAGATTTTGAGCATTTGAATTTCTTTATGTCCACCAACTTAGACTGTAAGAAGCCTACAGGGGACTCCTTTTTGCCTTCTGCTGAAAAGCTGTTATGTGTTAACAGTGCTGGCAATTGTCTGGATTATTCTTTTAAATCTTCAAAGTGACTGTCAAGGTAAATAGGTAAGATGAAATATTACAGGCATACACTTGGTGAAAATGCATTTTAAAACCCCAATAAATAATACCAATACCTCTTATTCTAATGCCAAAGACATGCTGTAAAATAGTACCATGATAGAATACTAAAGTCATTTATTTGCCCCCTTGGACTTGGAAAATGCATAGCAATGTACAATTCTAAGGTTAAGAAAAGGTTCTTTCAGCTCTCCAGTATTTTAAGTAGTATTAAGTAGGATTAAATAGTGAGTAACAAGCTCTCCTTGAAGCTTTGCTCACTATTTTTGTAATAACGGTTCCAGAATAAATGATGCAACATGTTTATTTAAAAAGAAAAGTTATTAAAAACAAAAAATCCCATTTCATTATTTATTGTACCCTGTAAAATATCACATTTAATCCGTTTTTGGTGTATTGTGTCATATTGCGCTCTATTGCTAGACTGTCACTTCTGACTTCATTTTCATTTGGATCCTCAGTGACATCACTACCAGGCTCTTGGAAATGTATAAAATAAGACTTAAAGGCTAAGAACAAAAACACTATCTAACATTATATTTTATTAAATTCTCTTGCAAAAAGTCATAGTTCATTCACAACAATATATGAATAGCTATAAGGAAAAATATGTGCTAAAATTTTAATGTTTAATATCTTAATGTAAAGATGGGTTAAATATAGCAAAGATGCTTTAAATAATAAAGGTATTTTTATATTCTAATCAGAGGAAAAAGAAGTCAGCCCAACTGGTGTTTTAAAAATAAGACCATTACCATCTTTTTTGAAAAATATTTGACAATACAAGGGTTAATCATTTTAAATAAAAAACATATCTAACATAATGACTCATTGTATAAAATATTATTTATATTAAATGCTGAAAGACAAAAGTCAGGGTCACTAGTAAATTTAGAAAAATAAAATTCTAAACAGCTTATGCAAATGCTACAATTGATCTTTTTAGTTCTTCTTTTATCCAAGCCACTATTTAATTGCTGATAAACTAAAATTGCAGCATTTTATATAAAATAAAACATAAAATACAGGGGTTAATGAAAGAGTTATACTATGGAAATCCAAAAACGCCCCCAGGGCCAGGGGTTGTGGCTCAGTGGTAGAGTGCTTGCCTAGCATGCGTGAGGCACTGGGTTTGATCCCTGGCACCACATAAAAAAATAAATTAAAAAAAGCTATTGTGTCCATCTACAACTAAAAACTATTAAAAAAATTCCCCAGTATTTGAGATAAGAAAGTAAAGATACAAAAAGGGAACCACACACCATCTTTTAAGAACTGTATTTAATGCAATACTCTGCCCCTTCTCCCTTCCTTGAAGGTAAAATATCAAGTTGGATGGAACAATGAAAGAAATCCAGTCCCAAAATTTACACACCCAATTTCATGAATATCCTCATGGCTATATAAATTAAGTAACTTTTTTTTAATGAGATATGTTTTCAGGACCGAGGACAAAGATTTCAGTGGCTTTGTTTTTCTACTTTCATAAGATACTTTATAAGAAGAAAATACACACTATTTAATATTCACACAAAATAAATGAGTTTCTTCAAAAATCCAGAAAGCATTTTCTGAAATTTAATTTTATGTTCAAGATACTATAAACCTTACCTAATTCTCCTATAAACTTATCTCTTACTATGAGACTGGAAACCTAACCACATTGCTCAGGGAAAAGATGACAAGGATTATCTCTTAAACCATTAAAGTACGAAATGTATGCTGAAGGCGCCAATAGGGGATGAGCTGGTCATGGGAACAAGTGTCCATGTGGATCAAACCACTTAATGTACCCAAACTCTGGGAAATCAAAACTGTCAATTATAATTCCAAATAAAGTACTCCTTACTTTTATTTTCCTTTTAAGAGCTCAACATTTTTATGAGAGATATGAATTCTAGTATGTGAAACTTTGCTTAACCTAAGTTCAAAAAGAGCAAGAGAAAATTGAGGATATGTGTTTTATGGAGTTTTATGTACTCTTGTTTAAACTTCATTTTATCGTATTACATCAAAGGTTCAGTTTTATTCTATTTTGGCAACTTAAATACAAAATTAAAATTTCAGTCAATAAAAAAAGTAAGTTGTAATGTCATCATAAAATAATTCCTGCATTTCTTAATACCATCATATAGAGTGAGGCTTGTCTGATGGTATGAATTTCATGCATTTGTCCAGGAAGATTGAGAGCTTAAGAAGAACAGGAACCTTGGCCCCACTGTTTATTTTATTATCTCAAATAGTACTTCACACTCTGCAGGTGTTTAAAAATGTGCTAATTATATTACACTTATACAGAGCATTGCAGGAAGAAAGTTTGAATTGAGGAAAAAAGCGGAGTTCCAGATGCTCCCACTATTAAATATGATGAGGAGAATAAAATAAGAGCAGGAAAACTAAGAAATGAAGTGACATTCAAACTTCATGAGCTTTTCCCCTCATTTGAAAAATATTAGCCAAGATATTGGCCAGAAAGCACTAAGTTCTGAAAGCAGAAAAAAATAAAAACTATTAATTTGTTAAATCCTTAAAAACAAAATGTTACACTTCAAGTCTAAGTTGTAGGTCATAAATTCCTATTAATCACATAGGTGAATATGTTAAAAGAAGTAATTCTCTTCTAAAATATGAAGGATATTTAACAGCTGCCTAAACAATCCTTTAACCAAAGCTCATGCACTTAATAAGCATAATATGAGGACTAAGTTGAATGAGTTTTTCTTGGGGACAAACTTTAAAAGAGAGAACACAAAGGCAATAAAGAACAGAGTTATTATTGAGTTTGGGAATGTTTGTTCAGGACATCACTCCTTTCTATCATTTGCTTGATTTAAAATTTCATCACAAAAATGTCTACTTGCTGCATTTATTTTCCCACTAAGAGACACTTACTGAAGTTAAGTACTTTTCCTGAAATTTAATTTTAGAAGTTCATTTATTCTTGTCCTTTAGCTGTTATGGTTTCCAAGCTGATGCCTAAAGTCTGTCGGAACCACAGAAAGATTCTAAGAGACTACAAAGAGCAGATCATACTCTGATCCTAGCCATGAAAGTCATCTTCGTTTCAATTAATTTATTTTGCCTTTATGAACTTAAGAGTCTTTCAAGGAGGCTGACATTTCACTCATCTGAAAAAGCTTGGAATGTGACAGGGGAAAGGGAGGAGAAGTAAATCAAAGGGGTTAGCAGTTTTCCAGATGCAATGTATTTTTCTTCTTTTCTTTTTCACCAGAAATTTTAGTCTTCTTATATTTTAATTCTCTGTGCAAAAACATAGAGTAGCAAAAAATATTTAAGGCATAGTGCCTAAAGAAACAACACACACACACACACACACACACAATATAAGCATGCACACATCTACAAAATAAATATAACTGAAATAAATTTAACAGAAAATGTAATTCTAATGTATTTACTAGATGTTTGTATGTGCTGTGCAATCAACACAATTTTAGTCTAAAAACAATGGTGCATTTGGTAGATTTTCCCCCCTTGTTTGTGATTACAACGGGACTGAGTTCATGCTGGCTTTTTCATTAAAAAGTGGCATTTATAAAAACTTTCCTCATGACTCTATTTTAATCATACCAGAATATTTCAGTTATCACCTTTAGCCACATGGTTTCAGAAAACTATGACCAAATATTTCATGAAAATGCTGATTATTTCAGAAGAGTTTTTTTTTTGGTTGGAAATTCACTAAAACATCAAGAGATTATAAAAAAGAATTTGAAAAGTCTTTGAGGTTTGAAGATTAATTCTCAGCAACAAGGGATATGCCCATTTGCTTCTCGAAGCCAGAGAGGGAGAAATAGCAGTTAACTCCCCAAAACACCCTGGTTCAATATTTACCTGACAGCTTTGGTATCTTGACATTTTCCCCAGTGCATTTCCTCCTTTATCAGGTATTATTTTACAAGGGATTTCTTGTTATACAGAACTAACATAAATCAATCTATAACAGAGGAATTTGTTTAATACATTTATTCTTTTAAGAAACTGCATGACCATATTTCATCAACTTGTACAATAGGGGGAAGAAAAAAAAACTTACTACTAAAAAAGCATTTGTGGAGACTGGTGCATGGTAAACCTATTTAGTTTTTTCAGAGGTTCATTCTTAGATTTTAATGTTAAATAATAACAACTATTCATTTAAGCTGGTCTCACTGTATATCTTGACCTTTAGCAATTCCACACACAGCAGCTTATTGTGGCATCCTTTAAATACGAGAAATAACAATATTTTACCTTGCTATTAAAAGAAAAATAAAAGAGTACTGTTATGTTACATGGCCCATGAAATATTGGCAGTGTGCTCCTTGGCTTTCATTCGAAGAACAGCAATACTGGAAGACCTCCTTTCAAACTCTGGCTTTGTTTCAAATGCATGTCCATTGGTAGCCCCAGTAAGAAGAGAGTCAGTGAAAAAATTGTTGAGGGGCACGTGGCTGAACTGATTCTGATGGTTTGAAAACCCAGTGTAACTGGAGTCTGTCCGAGGCGAGTGAGAGTAAGGTGTCATACAGGAGGAAGTATCACGTGGTAACATGCATGAAGTAACCACAGAACCACCACTTGCATTTCCTGCCCACAAATTGTTCTGAATCTGGAAAATATAAGAAATAAATATTACATTCATACTTTCTCACTTTTGTTCACTTTCTTAAATTACATTTACTAAGTTTGGTTAACTATTCATTATTTGCCCCTATTAAGTCATCTGTTACTATAGTCCTAATAATAATAATAACTGAAAAATAATTATTTGAGAGATTCTTCTAGCTTATTTACTATAATAGATTACCATAACCCACATACTAGACCACATAAAATATTCTCAAAACTGTCAATCTCTTAAGCATTTGTTTCGTAGTCATGGTTTTTAAATGCATATGGAAGATTTACTCAGGATTCATGATTTAAAATATACTTTTAAATTTAAAGACAGTTTTCATCTTTCTCAACAAAATGACAGAATTGCATATTTTTTCAGGTTCTGAAGTTGGACTCCTGTGGCAGTTTTTGTTAGAAACCATTGCTGATGTTCTACTGTTAGGTCTGTAAAAATAGTTTTGATCAAATTCATTATGGAAAGTGTTTGCCCTCTAATCATGTATTCTATAGGATTGAATAAATAGCTCTGAGAAATTGAGAAATATGTATTTTTAACATTTTTTCAATTATTTATAATTGATATAATAAATTTAAAACAGACATGTGACAAGAAAAACAAACTTAAAATTCTAAAACATGGATCATTACCAGGTAATAGAATGAAAAACATAAATGAAAAAATGATGTAAATATTAGGAAAAAGATCATATGAGTATAATTGAAGTAGTATATACCTCAAATATAAGATTGAAAACTCTTTTATAGTTTGCAACAAAGATTCACAGTTCATGTTAAATCTCTAATGAAAGTATTCAATATACTATTACCCACAAGCATAATTTCTCTAAAAGTGTTAACATGTAAAAGAAACACTAAATAAAATAAGAATTTTGAATAGGAAGTATCTCAATCTAAAACAAACAAGAACTTTAAACAGTAAGAAAACTGATCACCTACATTACAGAAAAACACACAGAAAATCATGAAAAATGGCAGGAACCAGAGAAAATGTTACATGGTCTAGCAATATAGAGAGATACAGTCTTTGAAGGTGAACTCAAATTGTATGCTTTCTGCAACATGATTATAGTACATTTGAACTAAATGCAACAGCAATATACATGTCCATCCTATCTAGCTTTTTTATTTGTTTAAAGTCAAGATAATAAGGATAGAATCAGCAATGATTTCAACATATTCACAAGGTTTTTCTTTTACATATTTTTCCATGAAGATTCAGGCAACTACATATAATCTCTGGTGTAGTCTTGAATTGTATTACAATTCTATTTGTATTACAGTTATGACAATTAATTAGTTACAATTCAAACCTAATCTTGAATTGTATTTTCTATAACAATTTGCCTTCAATTAATATCAGAATATATGCTCATAAATCTTGTGGATCAAATTGATAGAGAAGTTACTCTGTTACTCAAGAAAGAGTGGCTTAGCCAGGTTTTAAAACATAATAGAAAACCTGAACAACTAATTTCAATTGTTAGCCAAGTACTTCACTGATTGGCAATATGTTTATTTCTGTATTGTTTGAAAAATAGTATATATAATATATATGTAATATATTCTTTATATGCTAATATTTTTATATATGACAGATTTATATATTAACATAAAATATAAATAAAAATATAGAAATATAAATACAGAAATGAAATATAAACATATTAAGAGGAGATATCTCTTTATCTATATCTAGATTTACCTATATCTAGACATATATATAATGATTTGTACATTTAATTAATTCTTAAAGCATAATAGGCTATGCTGTTTTACTTTTGGCTTACTCTATTATATGTATTTAACTTTGGCTGAAATATAATTATTGGTGCCAGGGACTGCTGAGTTATGTATCTCAAACCAACAAGAGGGCTGTTATTGTCATTACTCTGTCAAACTAACCCTTCTAACTTAATCTGGGTGATTTTTCTCTGACATTCAATCAAACATTGTACTACACTGCAAAAACCACAGTCACATGTCTGACAAAGAGCTTTCAGAAAGAAAGTGAACTTGTTGGCATATTTTTGTAAAACCAAAAGAAAAGCAAGATAGTGATAGAGAGAAATGGCCTACATTTTGTTAAAGAATTTCTTAGTTCATACATAATATTGCTAGAATTTGTTAAAATAATCTACTTATACCCCACATATGCAAAAATATGTTTACAAAAGTAAGAATAAGAAGGATAAAGCAAGAAAGGTAATCCACAAATGTAAATTAAAGCACCATTTTCTTTTTAACTAATGTTAAAAATTAACATTAGTCTACCTGTAAATTGGGGGGGAAATTCTATAAAGTCTATTATACTGAAACAAAGTAGAGAAAAATAGTTTTATTTTGATCAGAACTTCTTATCTGGACATGATCAAGCATGTTAAACTCTTCTGATGAAAGAATTTCTAACACATAGTTGTCTTCTGAGCAGAGCAAATTGATAAAGCAAATTATCATAGTAATGTTTTAGTTGGGCTTCAGAAGATACCCAAATATTTTGAATAACTTTCCATTTTTTCATATGGGTAGAGATATGCTCACACATTTTTCCTGATATAGTTTGTTTTCATGATGTCTTTCTCTTTCCTCCCCACTCCAGCCTGTCAGTCTGATTTTAATTTTTAAACTTCTGGCATGTCTTGTCTTTGAGGACCTAGTAGGTTTCCATATCAATAGTTTAGATGAACATCACAAAAGATAATTATCTCCAGTGTCTTGTAATTTCATTTCCTCTGAAACACTCCTTCTGGATGTTAAAACATTTGATGGTGAAGATCAGAATCATGCACATGATAGCTAATGGTCATCAATTAATCACCATGTGCCAGGGTTAGACTATGGGCTCTTTTAATTGTTTCAACACATTAAAAGATGGGTGATTTTACTATCCTCATTTTGTAGAAATTACTACAGCTGTAGAATGGAAAGTCAAAGACTCTCACTCAAAACTGCATAACTCCAAAGGTGGTCAAATCTGAACCCAGGAAATCTGAAGAAATGCTATAATTACATAAATAGTTTATAAGGTGCAATTGCTTATTTACCTATTCATAATCTTAATTTGGTAGTGGTCCATAGGCTGTACTATCTGAAAGCAAACCCCATGGTTATTGATCATATTTGTTTCTTCCATCCTGAGTTCTGATACACTATAATACATCCTTAATAAAATGTATTGAATGGCTGAAAATTCCTAATAAAATTAAATGTGGGTAGATCCATTTTGCAGATAGAATCAAAATTTTATGAACAATTTATACTAATATACCTAAATTTTGTTTCATGATTGAACTCTAAAGTCACCATACTCCATCAGCTTAACAGAAATCATATTTACATTCCTAGACCTTGATAACTATATTTTACCTAGAAAGTTTTTTATTTCTTCTATTAAAATGTATCCTCTATCACAGATGCATTTCCCTGGAAATTCTGAATCATTAGCATGGGGTTATCAGTTCAGGGTATCTGTATTAAAATAATGGTAATAAAAACAACACGATGCGATTCTAAAAATCAATTGAAATTAAGAAACACTACCATAGTCCAGTTTCCTCCCAGATGCAAAGATTCTCCATATACCTTTAATTTTGTTCATTTCCTGTAATAAAAAAACTCTGCTGCTTAAAAATAAAAATCCATCTTTCGGAGAGCTCTGTAAGGTAAGCTATCTTCCTCTACTTATAGCTTCTATTTATGCTTCCTGAAATAATAAAGAATAAGTATTCAATCTCTTACATGTGAAAATCTTAAAATGTCATCAGGCAATTATGACACAATCTCCATCTCTCCTCCAGATAATATCTCCAGTCCTTTTAATTTTCTTCATATGACCTGGCTTTTAAATTCTATGCCATTCTTGTCATGTTACTCTGTTCACTTGAGTTTCCAACAACCTCCATGCTTAACAATGCATGGCATTTACAACAGAGGATCATATCCTAGGTATTGTCTGGCCTCTGTAGGGCAGATATCATTTTTTCTGTAGACCATCTACTCCTGGTAAAATTTGAAGACATTTTTTTTTTGTACCAGGAATTGAATTCAGGGGCACTCAACAACTGAGCCACATCCCCAGCCCTATTGTGTATTTTATTTAGGGACAGGGTATCACTGAGTTGCTTAGCGCCTTGCTTTTGCTGAGGCTGGCTTTGAATTTGAGATCTTCCTGTCTCAGCCTCCTGAGCTGCTGGGATTATAGGCCTGTGCCCCCCTCGCCTGGTTTGAAGGCAATCTTTGACTAAACAATAAAGTTATACTTTATTAAATCTACTGCTGTCAAGGTAGGCTCGTTCCACTCTCCTCCATCCATATATCAATTCTATTCTTATATAGGTTTCAATTTTAAACTGTGTGCTGGCATCTACAAGTTGCATTAGTTAAAAGGCTTATTACCTATTTGTCAACAGAAGCCCATAAAATCCCTCCGTTTGACTCATTAAAAGAAATACTAAGGACTGGAAGTGTAGCTCAGTGGTAGAGTGCTTGCCTAGCATATGTGAGGCCTTTGGTTTGATGTCCAATACCAACAAAAGGAAAAAAGAAAAAAGAAATAAAGAAAAGAAATACTATATCTGTTATTACATTTTGGAGCAAAGAATTCTTTTTTTTTTTTCTTTCTATATAGGATAAAGTCTTCTTTGGGGGGGGGGCTATTTTGTTGACATTACAATGACAGTACCCAGTACCAAATTATTTTTGGAGTATTTTTTTTTTTGGTAGGACTCTCAAACTGTACAATATTCAGGGCTTTCCAACCAGAAACACTATTAAATAATGCTCACACCCTATTTGAGTTTTTTTTTTTTTTAAATGAAGGCCTTTATTTTTTTTTCTTTATTGTGTTTAAAAGGAGTGGAGAAACAAAAAACACTCCATGTTTTAATGTGCCCCACAACATTTTTTGAAAGTTCTAGGGGCACTTTCAAAGAACTGTTCAGGGATCTTAGCCAAATGCCTCCCATTAGCATGAAT